TGATGTTTAGCCCACTTCTTGTAGTTAAACTTCGTTCCGTCTGTCCAGCTCCATTTCTTTGTTTTCGGATTGAGGCGTAGGCCAATGAACACGAAATCGTGAAAGGATTTGACGGGACTACCAGTCGTCGTGATTTCTTTAAAAAATTTCACAAAATGAGTCATATAATATGGAAGCTATGAATAAAACGTACTGTGGATGAAATTATTTTCCGCTTCGGTGTGAATAGATGCCAGATGACCGCCATGTCCTTTGCACGACTGCTCCGCGTCATCGAAATTTTTTGCATTTCTCCTTACCTGGACAGTTATAGCACAAAATCTTGGTTAAATATGTAATTATCCTAACTAACCATGTATTTCTTTCCCGCATATTTCAACCAAACATTGAACTTTATCCCAATACTGACGCTAGTTGGTCTCACTTTCTTGTCGCTGTTAGAACTGCCACTAGATGATCGACTCTTGCTCGATTTGAAATGCCTCCGATGAATTTCGCCAGCTGGACGCTCAATGCCTTCACTTTGATCGACCGATACTCTTTTGGGTTTAGAGCGCATCTTTTCATGGTTGGATGATGTGCTTCTATGTTTGTGATGCTCATGCGAAATTCTACGTTTATGACTATCCGAGTTCCACTCGGAGTCATCTTCTTCCACTGCAAGCTCAGAATCATCTGTCTCAGTTTCATACATTACCTTAATTGGTTTAGTTCTGTATTTTATCTTTATGGGCTCCTCGACGACATTGGTTTTGTATTCGTACTTGACTTCAGTTGGCAAATCAATCGTTCGAGTTTCAATGTTGTACCGATTGGTTCGAGTTCCCGAATCATATATAATTGGTTGCACGTCAATGTCTTTAGATGTTTCATATTCGTACTTAATTTTTGGGCGAGCAATTTCTATTACAACAGGTACATTCGCCTTGATTTCCTGCTCCTTGGAATCTACAATTTGTCCAGCAGTGACGAATGAAAGAACGTTAGCGAGAATGAGCAGCATCATCTAGAGTTTGAGCTTTAGCTACGCTAAATTTTAAAGGAAAAGCAAATTACTGTACGAACGTGTGATCAAAAATGCGGTGGCGCAAAAATCAACAACTACATATAGGTAGATGCAAGTATTGCAATATATCACATAAGACTGTCCTTTTTCCAAACATAAAATTCAAAGCATCAGAAGTTTTGGCAATACAATATGTAGCATTTGAAAGAAGATTTTACGTTCTACAAGACAATATCGGATTAGCGGGTGGTTTGCAATTGATTGAATTGGATTTAAGGTGTAAG